AAATAGTTTTACATGAGGGATAGGGAAATCAGAAACCTCTTCAAATGCCCGCTATTTTACCTCCCTGATTTTTTTTAGTTACTTTTAATTTACAATATGAAATAGGAAGCTGGCAGCTGAAAAGCAAAGCATCAACTTCTAGCATCATATTTGCAGCAAATAAAGTCCCACTGGGATGTTCATGAGCATCCTGCGTGGCTGATTCACGCCTTTTGATAAAGGGGTATTTTGTGAATTGCCACGCCAGCCATTTTGTGAGTACACCCAACACATGGATCAAAATCCTAAGTACCCAAAAACATTTTCTGCCCCACTTTTACACAAATAGATTATAACTGCAGAGTGAGTTAAGCTCTTTTACCTTAAAAGGGGATTTGTTGGCATTTATTGTTGAATATAAATTTGGAGCTCCAGACTGAGAGAGAATATCCAGGTAAGCAAGGTATTGTTGGGGAAAATTGGCAAAGTTCACATCTTTTTCCAAATTCCTGTCAGGCCCCTGTTTTGAAATCCTGTATGACAAAATCAAGATAAACAATGTCATCTGCATGCAAAAAATATGCAGTAGACTAGAAAAAATAGCTTGAATCATTTGAAATATATAACCTGTGTTATACATGATTTATATTTTCATGGAAGGGGAGAGGATAACGCCAGCATTAAAAAGTAGAAAAATGTCATGGCAAAAAATCATGCTCTTAACATTAAATCAATTTAATAATCAATAAGCATATTTAAAAATATTTAGAACAAGTCTTCAGGCTAAAAGGAAGAAAATAGATTTTATAAAATCAGAGAAAGAAACAGAGTTTGGCAAAAAATAACTTGAAGGGACACATAACAACTGTAAAGCATTTCAGCAGAGATTCAATCCATACTGTGAACAGGGGTTTTTAAATCTCAGTTTTAGGTCTGTTATCACATTGAACTGATTTTTTTTTTTAAGTTAACCATTCTCCCCTTGATAGGAAGTTCTTAAGGGTAGCACTCTGCTCTTTGTGATGATCCTTTCTATGAATGTCATATCCTATATATTCATATTCACAACCTCTTTCTTTTTAGTAATTCTGGTTTGCTTTGCTTTGCTTTCTATCCTGCCTCTCTTCTAGAAAACACAAGCTTGGAAAAGAAGAGTCAGCCATTGAATGTATGAACTGGAACTTCTACCCTAGCCCCACTCAGTGCAGGAGTCCACTAAACCTGGGGTTCTCAGAGTTTGTAATACCATACAAACTATGGTATTCTAATATGATAGAATGTATTTCTGTGTCTCCTCCCCCAATGATTTGGACAAGAAAAAACACATTACTTTTATATCTTTATTTATTTATTGGATTGGGGGGGCTGCCCAGCTTAAGGCAAATGTGTGTTAGGGAAAAAAATAAGAAACTCAGGCTTCATACAAGCCTCTGGAATCATATCTTTGTTTTGCATTCAGCATAATTTTGCATCAAACTGGCAAGCCTTCTTGGAAGGCACCCCCTGGTGACCTGTAGACAGCCAGGAAGATGACCTGAAGCAAGTATTCAAAAACGTTTAAACAAAGAGGACAGAAGCATTCCTTAAGTCCGTGGATGGGAAATACTGTACATTCTCATGGATAAGCCAAGAATTTTATGTTCAAAAATACACCCCCAAAATTGGGTTTGGCTTACCTGCAGACTGGCTTATCTGCAAGTATATACGGTAATACTTTTTTAAAGTACCCCTATATACTCACAGATAAGCCTATCTGTGGATAAGCCAGCCCTTGAATTTTTAACCAAAATACCATCAAAAATGCACCGCCCACAGGTAAGCCAATTGTGAAAATTAAAACACACAAAAATTTAAAGGGACAGCTTTATGGAAGGAAAGCCTTGCAGTGGCCAGCATGAGCTCTTCCTTCCCTTTGTTTTCTACCTTGGGACTTTAAGGCAGCCTGAACAGCACTGCACCACACCTGGATTCCAAGTATAAAAGGAAATCTCTGGGAGCAGGAGAGAGTGAGTGGATTTTTTTTTTTGCAGTATAGGACAGCAGAAAGGAAGAATGTGCAGCTGAGGGAGTGGAACAGCCATCAGCTTAACAAGCAACTGATGGTAAAGGGGGAGCAGGCTTGGACTTCACTAAACCAGCAGCAGACAAGCTGAAAGGAGAAGCAGAGCCCAGCAGCTTCACCACTCCACTACAGCCAGCCAGCAGCTGGTAAAGCACCTTTCCTTTCTCATCCCAGCACAGACTGAGAAGCTGCAAAGCCAAGGCTTCAGCAGCAGTTCAGAACAGCAGCTGACAGCAACAGAAGCCAACCTGAAGGTGGCTGAAGACTTTGGTATAAGCTGAAGCAAGAAGACTAGACTGTTTAGGAATAAGATATACACATAGGTGTAGCCATGGATATTAGTAAAGGTTAATATAACAGGTTTTGGGGGATGCGGTGGCGCAGAGGCTTAATGACGCTGAAAGCTGCTGGCCAGAAATGGTCGACACTTCAGCGGTTCGAGCCCAGCTTTTGCACAGCAGAGTGAGCTCCTGTTTCCTCCCCAGCTCCTGTCAACCCAACAGTTAGAAAACTTACGTGAGTAGATAAATGGGTACTCTCACTCTGGTGAGAGGAAAAATGTTGGCGCCTTGCAAAATGAGTTGGGAGCAGTTGCCGGTAGAGCGGAAGCCGCGATGCCTGAAAAAGGCGCAAAGCAATGGAAACCCGCCTCCTGCGCTCGCCAGCTGGGCTCTGCTCTAGGAAGGAGGCTCTGGCAAACCACTACCGAAAAACAATTGCCTTGAAAACTGCAAGGACTTGGCCAAAGCAGTCACTGTAGAGTCGGTAACGACTGAGCGCGGTAAAAAAAAATATATAACAGGTTTAGTAATAAGTGTTAATGTAGAAGTTAGGGCAATAGGTAAGTTTGTTAAATTTTATATCATAAAAGCCTTTCTGGGGGAAAAAAGGGAAGATAAAAACAGTCTGTTTGGTGCTGGTCTGTACCATTTCCCAAAAGAACCTCCTCTCAAGCTTTTCTGCAGGTGGCACATTTTTCATGGTATTTTGGTTAAAAATTCAAGGCTTGGCTTAATGCAGATGGGCTTATCCACAAATATATACAGTAGTATTAGGATGAGACTCAGAATGTGTCTTCCCTGGCTCACTGGAATATAAGACTGAGATGAGGAATTGCACAATTAGACTTGTAAGGTTCTGTTACTGTAGCCTAACTCGATGAAGGGTCTTCCTGTTCTGTCTTCCTGTGGAGCACCTGGCCTTATTGCAAAACCAACTAACAGGGATTTACAAATTACTTTCCCCTTTCTAAAGTGGGCTGATAGAAATTGAATGGCTACCTGAGCAGCTCCATACTATAGCTGGTTCCTTGATTTACTTGCAGCTATAACGCCATCTCTTTCAGAGCATGTATTCCACAAATGAAAACACACACTCACCCTCAGTCAGAAAACCACACTGCCCTACAGAGCCAGAATCTCTTCCAAAAACTTAGCAGATCAGTGCACAACTCAGTGGCTCTCTTGCAAAAGTCGCCATTTTCTAGTTTGTTTTCCTATTTGCTCAGTCTGTTCAAAAACTCTCCGATGCCTATTTTTCTAAAGAGTGCTAGCTGAGGCATGATTGGATCCACCAAGGGATGGGGGGCGGGGGCAGTGCAATCAACTATCACAAGTATATTCCTAACAGGGAAAGTATTACTTCCCAAGAAAAAATATATATATTTCTTCTCTTCCTCTAAATAACAGACTGCTCACTTTTCACCATTGTATGGATCAAACCTAGGGATATAGGCATTCATGAAAGCTTTGCCTTCCAGAATCATAACTGAAATTGAAATAATGTGTTATTAGGCATTAAAATACATAAAATGTATTTTATGCTGCAGGTCCTGTCTGCAAAAGTTACATCTGATGGGACCTAGGAGGTGAGCCTTTTCTGCCTTGGCACCCGCCCTCTGGAACATCATCCCTCCAGGGGTGAGGTCAGCCCCAGTCCTCATGGCCTTCTGGAAACCCCTCCGAAGTGTTTTTTCCAGCAAGCCTGGAGATCCCCTGGTAATAGGGAGCCTGTGCAGGGACTGTATTATTTGTAATATTTTCCCACTTGTGGTCTTGTCCTTATCCATGTTTATTAATGTTTTTAATTGGCTTTGTAGTATTTTATCGGTAGGTTTTATTGTACACTGCCCAGAGTCTCTTTGTGTGAGGTGGGTGGCCATATAAATTTGATAAGTAAATAAAATGCGTGAAGATGTACCTGGCTGAATCGGGATCTTCAGATGAGAATGTTTCCAGATGCCAGTCGTGGGCCTTAGGGAGATTAGAAAGTTCACGGGCAATAATATGCTGTGTATAATCATCATGCCACGTAAAACCTGGAAAATAGTTGCAGAAAATACTGATCCAGGAAGTTGGGATTTTGGCAGAACAAGGCAGAAGGGAAAATATATCAATCTTGCATTCCATAAGCAATTATCACAAAGCATTCAATGCTGCTAGGCTTTTTTTTTATAAATAAATTTCATACTTGTTTTAAAAGAATAGCAACAGGATCTCTTGCTCCTGCAGATTATTGGGCTAACTGTACTGAAATACTGATGTTTTTAAAATGTTCTCTTTTAAAAAGACAGTGGGTGTTATGATGAGATTTAAAAAGATTATATTTAATGGAATTTTAGTGTTTCTTAGTCACAGAGGAACTATAAAGCAGCTTTATTGTGTAATATGGTTATTTTTCTTTAGTTACAGAAAAGAACTGAATAACTCAGTAACTGAGCTGGAATGAATTTCAAAGCTGAATAGTGAGATATAATGAAAAGTTATTTCTCAGAGCTGTATCTCATTAGCTTCAAAATATATTCTAAAATATATCACCATTTTATATGATTTGGCTAGGACAAGCTAATAATATCTGGGTATGGATTACACTGATCCAGTGAAAACTATAAACATAAGCAGAAGAGTAATCTATCTGGGGATCAATTTGTGTTTTCTTTACCTCAACTAATAGTTTTAAACAAGGGCAAGGTGTCATTGTGAAAGTAAATTCAATGCAATTATGTATTAATTACATTCATTACTAATCTCCTGGTAATTATACTTAGAATAATGATGGGATCCCAAGAATAATTACTAGTTTGTAAATGTTATGATTAACATTTTTAGTTCATATAGTATTACCACCTGGAATTATCCATAATGATTTAATATGTCTATATCACATTATTACCACTATTGATATTCAACTTTCTGATACCTTCTTGTACAATAAAATATTATTCATTGATACTGCAACTGCAGTGTTAATACTTTTTGCTCAATTAATCTAAAGAGCAGTTCTACGTTTCATAAAAACATTATTGATGTATTGGCACTAAACAGCTTTAACAGCACCTGAAAAAGAATCCAAATTTTTGGAGATGTGTTCAGTTCCACAAGGTTTATTCCCATCTGATCAAAAGACATGCTATACAACCTGTGAAACAGCACTAGAAGTAACACATAGTGATACAGTAACACTGTGAGGCACAATGACAATTTTATATATGCCAATTAACTGTAAATCCAAGCAGTATTAGAACAACAGATTTGGAAAATGAGAATGGAAAAACATATAAACCATAAGATTTTTTTTTTTTTAATGTCATTTTCACATTTGTTTCACATTGCAGGCCTGGTTTGCACTGAATATGTGGCCTAAATCGAAACAATACAACAAAGGCAATACGACAAAGAGTTGTGAAGCAATCTATTTAGACAGACATTTCTAATTCTGAAATTCCTACACTTGTCCCCAAAGAAAACAATATGCCTTGTGTACCCTTCCTTGGGGTTCTCACTGATGTTATTTTACCGAGCTTTTAAACATTATCCAGAATCTTTTAATTTGCCAGATATAACATCAACTTCATTTCCAATAGCTCCTTGTCTTCAGAGGTAATTCCTAGAAAATTAAAAAATAGGTGATTGCATCCCAGGGTTTTTGCTTTTATTTCAATGTGCCCCCCTGCCTAGAAAAAAAAGGCAAAAGTATGGGAAGAATACGTGAAAGGAGGCATTCTGGAAGGCAGGTTTAATGGGTGTGAAAGGGAGAATTTTTATCAGTTTGTTATGTGGAGGGTATTTTAGGCTTGGTCATGCTCGATATGGTAGCCATTTTGAGAATGAGCAAGACGCATCACGTGTGACATCTTGTTTCTGTGCTGTAATGTGGGTTGAAATTCCAAACGTGCTTGTAGACCACAAAAGGCAACAATCTCTCAACAATTGTGAGATGGTTTAGAAAGATTTCTGAGAAAAGGAAGAGACCAGCTTTGATCAGATATAATGCCAATCTACAGTTTAAAGTTACATAAATTAGCCTGTCCCCTTCCCTTCCCCCATTAGGAGTTCTGAAATATTCACTTTTATTTTTAGCCAGATGTAGTTTTTTATTCCCTTAAAACAGAGGGAGGAAGATAGGTGAAGACCATCCCAGGAGTCTAATCCAGCTTGGCTTTTGTCCTTTCTTCCACCCCAACATAGGTAGTATTACCACTTACACCAGAAGAAGAATCTCTGAAAATTTATTTTAATGGTTGCTTATTGTACTTTTAATTCCATCTCTTGACACTGCATATAAACTATTTTACTAACTACACATAGAATTAAAAATCAATGAAAAATAAGTGATAAAAATATTTCAAAAATTATCTCTCTTTTATAGCTCCACTCTTCAAGATCAGTGGTTAAGGCTAAGCAGATCTTTGATGGAGTGCTTCATTTTGACAAACCCCTCAAAACTACTTGACAGACACACATATGCATACTTCTAATAGCATCCATGGTGCTTCACTTCACACTCTCCATAGCCTCTTCTGACATTTACATAATATATTTTGGCTTCTGAACATCTCTCTTCTCCTCAAGGAGGTGAACATCTACAAGGTACAAAGCATCATTCACGAAGACCTAAGAGTAGCACTGAAAAACAGCTACATCCTTTAATTGTTGGAGAGAACCTCAACCCAGGATGCTCAATAAAATAGCTTCCACAACAGCATTAACACCAAGCAAACACACGGAATCAAAATTAAGTCTGAGAAACAATCTACTTGGCAATGTTACTTGGCGATTTCCCAACTCTTTGTCTCTACTATCACACCTAGTGCCTTGCTACAACTCAATTACATCAATTTAACACACAAGGTTGTACAGGACTGCAGTTTTTCCATGTCACTAATGTGGAACTTCTGTGGGACACACCACTACCAATTAATGATCCCTGTTGGAGCTCTGCCTACACTGTACATCTTCCAACTGAGAATTCCCACCAATGGGCAATGAAAAAACACCCAGCTGCATCAAGGAATCTAGTTAAGACAGTGGTTCTGACAAGTTAATTAAAACAGAGAGAGAAATACAAACTGAAATATTCTATGATTAAATAGCAGCTGTTGAAGAAGGAGCAACCATGATGTCTGTTACAGTGAAGCAACTAGAGTTTTATGGAAACTTAGAAACTAAAACTTTGATTATAGCAAAGCCATATTAAGCATCATGACATGTGCCAAACAGCCTTCAAAAGTGGGTCTTATTTTTATTTTCACTTTATTATTTAGGGTATGGATGTTGGTAATAGCTACTTCTTTTTCTTCCTCAGTAGAAGGCGCAATGAGACCATGATGTTCTTTTCAATGCCATAGCTCCCCCTACTGTTGAAGAAAAAACTTGCACACTTCTCTCATCAGTACATGGACTTGAAGGTGCAGTTTTTAGGGGGGGGGTCAGAGAGAGGAGAGCTGTGGTTCCCATTTTGCCCATTAAAATATGCCCTTCAAAATTAAAACACACACAAGGAAAAACTAGCCTGATTTTTGGTACTTTGATAATGCAATCAAGCCCTTAGTCCCCTAAAATCCTCAAAATGTAAAACGGGTACAAAATGGTAACTTCCACCCATTCTGGGAGCTGCAACAGGGATTCCAGTAGGCTGCATGTTGCCTTTACACCATCCTTTTCGCACCCGTTTTATGGAATAAATTTCCATGGATTATTGTCTACTACATCAAATGAAGTATCATAATTGAGGTAAGTTGTATATACCCCTGATGGGTAAGGGTGGGGACAGGAGGATGTAAACACTGAGCTCAGAAGAAGAGGAAATGAAGAAAGTATATATAACGTTAATTATGTAAGAATAGTGTTAGGCCCAGCCCAAGAACAAGAGTGAAACAGTCCAGTCCAGTCCAGTTCCTTTATTAGTTTACATCTTATAGACAGAATTTTGCCAAACTATACAGCAACTAGTGGATATGCCCTGTGAGATTCTAGGGAGTGGCTATCCTGAACCTCTTTAACTTCCCACGCTTCTGTTGCAGACTCAGCTGCCTTTTGCCTCCTCCTCTCTCCTGGAATGCACCCCCTCTTTCCCAATAGCCTTGATCTCCCACATCACTCTCCTCCTCGTAGATACATTCCATCACAAATGGCCATTTACAAGATGGTTGTTGTGTATGACAGATACTCTTCTATAGGTTAGCTGGTTAACCTAAACATTAACTTGGTTAACCTTGAAGCTATGTATCTTATAAACTATTTTCTTACTGATGGGACTGATGATTTTCGAGGGGAGGTATGGCGAACTGAAGACAGCTCTGTGAAAGTGGAGCCAACGACTGTGGCAAAGACCAAGGAACTGGTGAGCAGACTGGTTCCTTGGAACCTCTCTAGATAAGGAGAGGATGGGAGATTGCCCACATGTGCTCCAGATGGCTGCTGCTCATGAGGTGACTGCAGGACAGCGGTTTTCTGTGGGTTTGAGCACTGAGAGATGACAGGATTAGCCATCTTGCTTGCAACCATGGCAGAGACTTTTAAAGGACACTAAGTTCACAAGCCTCACTTTCTAATCACTTTCGGAAATTGCCTATTAACTAATTTAAAGCTATTAGAGACCTTCAGAATGACAAGTTTGAAAAGTCTTCATCGGGTGAGTTTATCTTCAACTCTGAACAAAAGAAAAATT